CTTCGGACGCCGCGGATTTGCCTCCGCACTTATGTCAGCGCGGATAAGGGCATTGCGGTTTTGTGGTGGAACCGAAATAACACTGTACTTTTTTTTTACAACACTGGGATTCACATTTACTTAAAGCAAACCCTAACTTGAGCATACTCACTTGACTTTCTTGTTTAAAAAGCAGGTAGCATGCCCAACATTGCTAATTATTTTGGAAATCTTCTCAATTTCAAAGACCATCATTTGGTATAGGATGGAAGTTGCTACTGTTACAAGTAAGCCACTTTTTTTTCTCCTGACACACTGAATTAATTGCTCTGTTCATTAAATCAGGAGATCATGTTGTTCACTTATCATACACTCAAAAGAAAAGAAATCTACAATTCTGACCCCTTGACCTCAAGATGACTCTCAAGTATCCCAAGAACCAAGATCTTAATGCAAAAATATATTAAAAATTAATATTCTCTAGATCAGCTTTCTGCAACTTGGTACCAGATTCCAGTTAAAAATTCTGAAGTTTTGGCTAACATATCTAGAAGGTACTAGTTGGGGATTTCATGGTTTGCTAATAGGATTACAAAGTTGCCTTAGTTATATTCATCTCTTATCCTTTCCCCACAGAATATTTAAAAACTATTCAATTTTCTTTAAGTAGTCTTGAAACCTGTATATGTCTGAATAACCCAGATAAAGTTACATAATTAATTATAGTGCTGATTCTCAAATGAAGAAAAGGTTCACTGAAAGTTGTCAAATAATTACTATTTCTCACATTATTTTGTACAAAAGACATATTGATCTCTGAATATTTAATATTTAAGTCATCTAACATACCAGCAAATTATGCCATACCTAAAAAAAAGTCTAACCTAAACTGAAAGCAGTGAAAGTGTACAAGACAACATTGCAAACACTGAAACAATCTTTCAGTACCACAGGTGTTTGACAACCAGCATGTATTTACGATGGTTGCAGCATTCTGGGGTCATTTGATCACCATTTGCAACCTTCCCAGGTGGCTTCCAACAAAGGTAATAGGGGAAGCTGGATTTGCTTAACTACCATATGATTTACTTAACCACTGTGGCCAAAATGGTTGTAAAATTGGGCATATTCACTTAACAACCAACTTGCTTTCCAGCAAAAATTCTGGTTCTAACTGGGATCATAAGTTGAGAACTTCCTATAATTTAGAAATAACACCTTTCCCAACCCCAACTTACCTGGTCCCTATTGTTGATGTTGGAATATGGCAACTGCCCAGTCATCAGTTCATAAAGGACAATTCCAAATGCATACACATCTGATTGAAAGCTATATGGATTTTTATCTTGCATCCTAATAACCTCAGGTGCCTGTGATGTAGAAAACAACATGCTTTAATCTGTTGCAATTGCAGACTTTATCTATATATCTCAGATCCCCAAACATGAAACTAGTATCTAAAAGGATAAATCAAAGCTATATATTTATCCTCACTGAATCTTCATTAATAGAAATTAAGTAATTTCTAAGCAGATAATGGTCAAATTGTATGCAATACAGTGATTACCTCCCTTTAATGATTATAGTAGTTTATGATATTAAGTGGATTGATATGATGGAAAAAACATAAGACAACTTATGATTGCACCCAGACGTTCAGTGAGAGGAGAAAGTCTTGGATAGAAAGCAAAAGGTTTCCAAGCATTCCATCAGGGGTGATAATTCTGCTACAGATTAGGAAGGCTTTTCCTTAGGAAAGCAAAGCATTTATTTCCATCCTAAAGACTTCGGAAATGTTCCTTTCTCTGCAAAAGGGATTGTGCAATTTTGTTGAACAATTTGGAAAATACTCCCTTCACATACCATCCATAGAATAGATCCAGACAACTGTTCAAACTGGTGGGATCCACTCCATCGAGACTTTACTGTTGCTAGACCAAAATCACCTATTTTTACCGTGAGATCTTCATGAAGAAATATATCTGACAGGAAATGTAAAGGAGAAAAAAAAAACTAAGCAGGATCTGACCTAGCTGACAGTTGGATAGGAGGCCATCAGGAATTGAAGTTATATAGAGAAGATGAAAAAGAAAGAAAGAAGATGACAACAAACCACTTCAATATTGTTACCAATGAAATTAAATGGATATGTCCATGAAGTCAACACGGGGCAAACTTTCCTATGATAAAAGTTTTAGTTTTAAAAGCATGTATCAGATTATATGATACACCAATATGAGCTAAGAGGGCTTTTAGATTGCATTTCTAACTTTGGTTAGTGCTGATAAATTAAAGGAATGTGGTTACAAAATGGATGTCCATGCAGACACTGAGACTCCAAAGCTTCTGAAAGTTTCATGCAGATCACATATTTGTATGAGAGATAGTTGATTTTATATAATGAAATATACTGGCATGAAACACACTGATGTATTTTGCCCTTCTATATTTAAGTCCTGTGACACCATGCTCGGAAGTTCATCAAAAGAAATCAATACATTGACTGTTGGGTTTGGAATCACAGGAATGGATAAAAACTTGACTTAGGATAAATATGCTACTGCTCCAAGACATATGAATCTGGATGCTCATCTCCAAACATATTTAGATGTACAATAATTAGTTAGGCACAGAAAATATATTTGTTTTCTTTAATAATTAAGGTTGAAACTACGCCAATATCTACATATGCATCTTCAATTGACCCCAGCTATTACTTTTTCCCCTTCTTTGAAAAAAAACTCACTTTGAAAAAAGGTGAATGATAAAAGTTAGTGTTTTTAAAGGATACTATTACTCTTGAGGTCTCTGTGGATGATAGACTTGGCATGCAAGTAACTGCAAAGTAACAAAACAGGCAGTGAATTGATCATGCCACTTACTTAAGGAATTATCAAAAAGCCAGATGAAATTAAGTCATAATAAAGATAATTTGTTATAGCAAAGTAATCAGCACCTTCCACTCCTCACAATTTTAGACATTTGGATTGTAATCCTATGCATATTTACCATGAACATATTTTGTGCTCTTTCTACAAACGCCTTTTGAAAGGAAGAACCTACAACTTGGATTAAATTACAAAAGATTGCCATATATACACTTCCACCCAACTAATACAGTACTGCTTTTATCTTGTGAAATTAGGATTTAAATTCCTATTGCCATAAGAAACACTTTGGTATTTTTAACAATGAATAAAGTTTAGACTCTGTTCTATACTTGCTTTTTATGAAGCCTAACCAATGTTGCCTACTTTAAAATTTCATTAATGCCTGTATAAGCTATTTAACTTGTCACAGCAATTCTCGCTAAAAGATAAAATTTATAGTTTTAGTTATTTCTATATGTCTGCTATGTTGTATGAATTTTTATTTATCTTTTTGGTCTTTGACCATCTAGCAATCTATCAACGTATTGCACAGATCAAAACTTCCAAGCACTTGTGTGTGTTCTATATTTATAGATCAATTTCCTTAAACTCAGCAATTTGAAAAATCAACATATTTTTTTAACATAATCTTGAATAAACATAATCTCCACTGGTTGAAACTTCCTAAGAATTATTTCAGCATAGAGAACTAATTCAGGTTTCCTGCTCCATATTGCTCAACAAATGATACCCAACTTACTCCATTCCTTGTGCTGTCTGGCGTGCAATATCAATCAGCTTGATCATTTCAAATTTAGTCTCAATGATGTGTAGATGGTGATAAAGACTGGACCCTTCACACCACTGTGTAACTATAGCCAGTTGTGGCTTTGTTGAATAACCCATGAAAAGTAATATATTCACATGTCGTGTTTTCCTATGGTGTTGGAAAAAAGAAAAACTTAAAATTACTTAGGGGAAAAAAATCCAGCAATAACATGCTATTCTAGAGATTAAAGCTTTAAATCAGTGCTCACTTAAATATCAAATAATATACAGTCTGACATTTTTTCTTCATTAAACTGAATTAGATGCCACTAGAATGCCAGCAAATGAATTATGGAAGAATAAAATTCTCCTACTGGTGGTTATAGAACTCTAGCACTGGTGTATTTCATGGTTTTCATTTCTGGTCATACTTGATCTGTTTTTCATTGTTCCTTGCTTTTAAAAGGTCAGCCAACCAGAGATATTTTTTTCTTGTTCTACGTAGCCCTGTTTTCGTAAAATACCTGAGCAATCACCCCTTCAATTCACTATTTGAAAAAAGTGATTGACCAGAAGGACAAGACCCATTATTAGTGAATACATGTATGGAGCAACTGAGCAGGAAAGGGAGAGGTCATTTCTGATTTAGAGCCATGGTGGCGTAGTGGTTAGAATGAAGTACTGCAGGCCAGTAGTGTGATTTTCAATGGCTCAAAGTTGATTCAGACTTCCATCCATTCAAAGTTGGTAAAATGAGGAGACAGATTGTTGGGGGTGATATGCTCATTCCATAACTCACTTAGATAGGGCTGTAAAGCACTATGAAGCAGTATATAAGTCTAAGTGCTATTGCTATTATCTAAATGAATTCTTAAAAGTCAGTGGTTTATCTGGTTGTGTCACCTGTATTGAATTCATATAATCTTACCTGAGAACTCCTACTTCATTTTTAAAAGCCTGTAGCTGCTGAGGGGTGGGAGCTGTAACGTTCAACATTTTCACTGCAACATCACCTTAAAAAAGAATTTCAAAAAGTGAACTACGGATGTTTTGCTCAAAAATTAAAGTGAGTTAAGCATGCTACTCATAAGATGACTAAATGTTTAGTATATAACAGGGCAATACTGACTGTCCCATAAAGTCTTATTACACATGCATGCTAATGAAAAAAACAAGTTATTGAAGCTTACTGAAAGATTTCTGACTGGCATTCTTTTCTTGCACTGCAAACCTTTTATGAAGTCCTTTTCTATTTTTGATGTGATTTTACTGCGCAGCAGAAAAAAAAGCTGCTCAAGAAACAAGCTCAAAGCACCATGGGAATATTTGTTGCAACTTTTTCTTTAACCATAAAAGCAGAAACCAGCATAGTGGTCAAGTACCGATTAACTATTACTGAAATGGGGGGATTCAGCAGTGAACCATTCAGATTGAGGAAGTCACTTTGTAAACCGGATCATATAATTAATAGGTACTGTCCTGGGCACTGAACTAAAGTATCATTGAGAGCCAGGTTGGTCTAGTGGTTAAGATGCTGGCCTAGAAACCAGAAGACCATGAGTTTTAGTTCCGCCTTAGGCATGAAAAACTGGCTAAGTGACTCTGGGCCAGTCATTCTCAGCCCAACTCACCTCAGAAGGTTGTTGTTGTTGTGGGGAAAACAAAGAGAGGAAGTATTAGGTATGTTCGTCGTACTGAGTTATTGTAAAAAAAAAAAAAAGGTGGAATAACAGTCAAACAACAAAAAAATAAAAATTTCTGGATCCTGACAAATGCACATTAATCAAAAAGTTAGTTATTATCTGATGAAAATATTTTCGGTAACTTTCAGAATTATAGGTTCTCAAATCCTTAACACAAACAAATCTGCTGGGATTTCAATAATTGTTTTAAATACTTGGGATGAGAAATAGTTGCTGTAGTAGTTACATACCGTGCCATTTCCCTTTATAGACTGTCCCAAATGAACCAGAGCCTATCCTTTGTCCAACTGTGATCTGGCCATCTGCTATCTCCCAGTCATCACTTGAATCTCGTCGACCAAGGGTTTTCTGCAACAGAAGTATGTTTATAATTCTGTAAATATTTTTAGTAAAAATTGTATGCATGGTGATTGTGAAAAGGCCTTACATTTATATTTTTTAAAGCCGCAATTCGCCCAAACCCATTTTATAAACATAGCACACCATGTTATATGACATGAAGCCTTGAACATTTCAGGTGAATCTGCATACACGAAGAAGGAAAGGCTGTGGGCCCTCTTTGATCTCCTAGCTTCCATACTCAAAAGAGATCAGGAAACTTGGCTTACATGGTGAATCTCAAATGGGTGCTAGTTCAATAAGCTAATTTTGTCCTTACCATTCTATTTCGGTCTTCAGAAGATGACGAGGACTTCCTCTCTCTCTGAGGCCCTGGGGATTTCTGTAATGCTTTCACATTAGTGAGAGATCCAGGTAAAGACGCAGGTGGTGTGGCAGACAATCCTGTTGTTGAGCCTACATTTGTAATTAAAGGTCAAAAAACAACTCCAGGTTTTTAAGGACTAAGATACATTGATTTAATTAGCAAACAGTAATCACAAAGGTTGTGTATAAGATGCAGTATTTCTAAACACAACAGACAATTAAGTGTAAGGATTAAGACTTGCAAACCAGGTGCATTTAATAAATTGTGCAATTCTAGCTCAATTTAATTCTAAAACTTTTATCAACAGATGGAGTTAGAATGTGAGACTAATTCACAAAGGAGGAAAGGACAAATTTGCACCCTATAACGTTTTCAGCAGTTACTAAATTATAGATATACTGGACTTAGTATCTTTTTATAATTTGGGCCACTTCTGAAAATTGTATAGTTCTTTACCCTGTTTTTAAAAGATTTTTACTTTTTATATTACTTTGCTTTTTCCTGAGCCTTGTTTTTATTTATTTCCTTGTTTATTCCAAAGAGGAACATATAAGAGGCTAGGTGCCCTAAAATAAAATATTGTAAATTTTAAGACAACAGTGAAGAGATATTTTTGGTGGCCTATACTGAAGGAGCTAAGCATATGTTTTTTTTTAAAAAAAAATCAAAACCTTAGACCTCTCTTTTGCTTTTGACTGGTATTTGGAAAGCTATTTTTTCACTGGTTTCTTTCTTTCTTTCTTTTTCTTTCTTTCTTTCTTTCTTTCTTTCTTTCTTTCTTTCTTTTTCTTTCTCTCTCTCTCTCCCTCCCTTTCTTTCTTTCCTGGCATCTTTTAGCTTATTTTCCCAATGTCAATGTAGCAAAAAGGAGGATATCTTTATCCCCAGATATTTTCAGATTTCAAGAATATATCCTGCAATGCTGTACAGATGTTAAATTGTGTATCTTTGTGTTTTTTGGGTTGTAAAACAGAATTTAGTGGAATTTAAAACTTTAAAGGCATGGTAGGGAAGAATATTTCTCTTTCTCCATTCCAAATCATTTAAGCTGGCAGTAGAAGACAAGTTTAGTTTCCTAAGCAGCCATATAGATATTTCATGGAGAAAATAATATAAATATTGGAATAAGATACAGTACAGGTTTATCTATGCCAATTTTCCTCAAATGAGCATCTTCCAGATGTGGAGAGAGCATAACTACAAAAACTTCTGGACAGCAATGTTGGACCACACCTTTTGGAATTTTTTTGATACAGCCCCAAGATATCTGAAAGATTCTGTGTTTATGAAAGGATATTCAAATGCTAAAACTATACCAGTAAATAAAGACTACAGTAGCTGAAATCGGTTTATATTAATTTATTAAAGAAAGCCGTATCCTTTCCAACAATATAAACCAGAAACATTTTAATCTATGACAAAACAAGAAAGTATGCTCAAATAATGACTGTTCTTGGCTTAATTGTTTAAGCTGTTTTGTTCTAAAATGTATTTATTTTTAATTATATAATAAGGTGAAGACTTAGGAAATAAATTGTATAAATTGAAGAACTACATTTACAAGTCTTTCTTTGTACAAATTGTATTGCAGTGATATATTGCAATACATCATTATATAGTATTTTATGCTTCAGTTTATAATTCCTGGACTAAGGGGGGGAGGACTGTTTCTGTGTCTAATTCCAATCCTGAATTATAGTTCTGGTGTTTTGCTCAGATGATTTTTTTTTTGTATCAATAGTCTCAGGTAAAGTAGAATATTACTATATTTTGGTTCTCAAAACTGATCTTTATTTTAGCTGAACCATCCTACACAATATAACATATCCTTTTAATTTACAGATTAGTCACAGCAGTAAGATATAATTGAAGTAAATCAAATTCCAGATAATTAACAAAATTGCTAGCAGAATCGTTAGCTCTGCAACAGATTTCTGAAAGACAGTGTTAAATAGGATTTTGCTCAAGCATTAAGTTAAAACTGACAGACAAGAAAATCAGGAATGTCAATCTATTCCAAAATCCTGGAAAGCCTCAAGATCATGCACAACAGTATGGTCCTGCTGGAATCCAGGCAGAGTTGTCAACTTCTGTACTGAAGTTCACTTCAGCATCTATGAATTAATTGGCTGGAGGGCCAGCAAAATGGCATAAGTTTTATCTTACAGAATATCTGCTTTTAAAAAAAGGAACCTGGCCAATTTGATCCCCCCTCCTTTTTGTGTCAGTTGGCAACCCTACTTCAGAAAAATCTGAATAAAATTTTGCAGAAATGTTAATTATCTGCAGGACTTGTCCTGTCCTCGTTTTCATACTGTAACTCGAGACTTTGTAAAACAAGCAATACTTCGAAAGAAGATAGTCCAAAAAACCTTATCTCTATAACGTAATGCTCCAGCAGCTTTATGACAGATGTCCAACACAGAATAATTTGTGAGTTTAATAAGAGTGAGTGACTATTAAGTGAAAAAAGCACATTCAAAGCATTCCAGCCAGGCTAAGCCAAAAAATAAATAAATAAATAAAAATGATAATGTTTTGATAAACTCACACACTTACATACACACGCTGTGAGGGTGAGGCACAAACAGCATCTGTGGTTTTATTTAGTTTGATTTGGGTGAAAATGAGAAAGAAGAGCCCAACTACCTCTGAACACTGGGCCAGGCTCAAAATCAAACACTATCTCACTGGGGACAGAATGGAGGAGGGGACTGGGAGTCCGGGATTGGTATTTCCGAAGGCAGCGCATCAGCTGGTTCATAGGGGCTGTTAGAGAGAAAGAGACGGGCAGGCAGAGACAGGAAGACAGACACACAGAAGAAATGAAAGTCATGGGACATAACTGAGGTGCTTAAGACTCCTATGCACAGACTGCTTATGATTTTGCAGGGCAGAAACTTGTGATTCCATTTCAAAAACAAAATACAGCATATTATTCAAAAGGCTGGGAATTGGTAAGCCCCAAAGAGAGCCTACTGACCAGAATTTAAAATGACATACTAGTACACAACACTTAAATGTTGGACAGAATGGGCAAAACGATTCCAAAAGCCACAGCTCCCTAGACATATGCAATTGTCAAATGGGCAATGTAATGGGCAGCATTCATGGCTTGAAGTCATACCTGCAGTCTCAGATTTGCAAAGTAGTAGCCAGTTTGTTAGATGTAATTGGGAAAGCGGGGAGGGAGAAGAAACAAAATCCTGACTAAAAACTGAGTCTCTACTAAATGTTATAGTGAAGGCATAGGTTGCAAAATGTATTAAAAAGAAAGAAAACAAATAAACAAATGTCATGGAAAGCAAAAGGGCCAGCTGATTAAGGATACATGCTTTCCTGTACTGCGTGGTACAGCCCGCACCATAGAGTCAAATGATAATAGCCAAGTCAAAGCATTAAACAAAGCTTATCCTGAACAGGATCTGTAGCTATTGCAGCAACGCCCACCAAAAGTGTGCATGTAACATGGTGGGGAAGAGACAGTTTCCTGCAGTTATGACTTTTGCCAGTGACATTTCTCCTTACTCAAGCTGACAAAACTTGAAGCAACTTTTTCCAAATTGGCCAACTTCCAACGTTGCCTGACCATGAATCCTGGCCTTACAATCTGGAGATGCCAAGCTTGAGAAGACTCTTGTACATTCTTACAGCATGGGAGCATCATACATGTCCACATTTCAAAAACATATCAAAGGCAGAGGTGCCAGCAAACATGACGACTGGATTGAGGATGCCTGCATCAATTAACATTCATCGTTCATTCTACAGATGAATGAATTCGTAATATCATTCATATCATTCATTCTACAGATTATAAGAATAAAAAGTATAAGTGTATCTTTCTTTATCCTGCATGCTTATTATTTGGTAAGCTCCTGCAACTGATAAATGTTTGCTTAGGGAGTCACTTTGAAGAGTTGTTCAGAGTTGTTTTTAATTGGGCAGTGTAAGTAATGGAATTTATGTAAAAATGCGCAGTATACACATGTGTATACATGAACACACACTCTAGTAGCATGGCAATACCCAATTCTTTTTCAGCAAGAATGTACATATCTCCAGATATTATGTTTTTGAGAACTTTTCTAGGATGCTCTTATTGTATATTCTTAAGTTGTTGATTTAGAAATTGTGCTAGCTGACAGACATCTTTAAAAAGAATCATTTTTAATATAGCAAGATGGCAGGTTTATGCTTTTTATGGCACAAGGAAGAAGAGGATCAGCTGAAGGCCTGTTGCCTTCTCTTCTTTCTGATTATCTGTTGTTGTTTTTTAAAAAAATACTGGCTACCACTTTGCATATTGTTCTCATCTTCCCTTCACCCACATTGAAATGCAAATTGGTGATTTTTTTTATAAGACAATGGACAAGCAAGTACAACTGAATTTCATTGCACTAGTTAGATTTGTCTCCTGTGTCTGTATTTTGCAAAAAGGAGGTTGTATAAAGGGGAGGAGGCAAAGCAATGCATTGGGTATGCAAGAGAACAAAGTAACTTACCTCCCTCTCCTCGCAACCCTTGTTCTCTAATCAAGTCCTACAAACCAAAAACAAAAACTATATGCACCTTATTCATGCGTTATATATGTTGCTTGTCATTAGTAGGACTGGTGATATAGCACATTTTCCCCCATTTAACTAAGAAAAGCATACTAAAAGCAGCTGCAAAGATACAGCATACTTTACTATCAACCTATAAAACACTCCCTTATCTGCCAATAGCTGAGGTTTCCAATAAAGACTGCTTGAACTCTTTTGGATCTGGAAGTGGACTATCAAGCAGCAATTTGGAGGATGGCTACTAGGTCTAATAGATACTGATTGGAGATACAGGGAAACAGTAATAATCAATTAGCAGTGTTAAATAGCCAAGGTGTTAGCATATGGACCAACTTCCATTAATGGAAAAGTAGCAAGCTTTTAAATAAAATACTGAACTATCAGGCAAAATAAAATCAACAGTTAACTCGGGGAGAGATAGATGTAGTATTTAATAATGCCAATCAAAGGTAAGCCCTTTACTCTTACTTTTTCAAAGAAATCCTGTATTCTCACTAGCTACATTGCATTAGTGAAACTACAATAATTATTGGTTGAAGTTATTTAAATCCAAAATCATTGTGATTCTTATAGTACGTGATGTATCAAAAGACATTCACCCATGTCAAGATATACTTGCAGTCTTTCTGTAGAACTATATCCATGCCTTTGGGAGGGAAATGCTCTTTTCATAATTTTTTTTCTGTCTGTGTTTTGAAGACTCTTGACAGTTTACATGCAAACATATTTGACCCATTTGCTTATTTATATCATCCTTCACAATTTATCAAAGAACTAGCTGTAATTTAAAAACAGATCATGGGAGCTTACCCTTGGAATCATTATCTGAATTTAAATTCAAAAAGTTCAAAACAGCATGATCTATTAGTATCAATACAGTATAGGCAACGCATGGTCCCTAAATAGTATTTGTTTAACAGTTTAATATACGTAAGAAACTAAGAATTATTACATGAGTTCTAAAGTAGTCTTAAATTCTAGCCAAGTATGCGGCTAAATTCTCTCAGGTTCAGAGGCTGAGTGAAAGTGTATGCCTTTGAGATCATTTCCTAGACTAGTAAGGTTTGTTTCCAGTTTTCACAGCCACTATCGAAAACAGTAAGTATATCTTATTTGTAAATTGGAAGAAAGTACTCAGTTGTCCATAGAATTTTTCTTGCTACACCTGCCTCCAAGCGTTCAGATTAAAGGAATAAATACACTAATTATAAAGAAAACAGTTAGTTTGGAACTTACATCAATATTGACCGGCTCTATTGTATTGATGTGCACGTTGGGGGCAGATGACGAGCGATCACGTTGACCAAACTGATTTCGATGGTCTTCATCTGCAGGTCGGAATGGCTGAGGTATTGGAATGGATTTTGAAGGAGATGGACTAGGGAGAACTGGTGGCCTGAGAAAGTCAAGACATTAAGAAAATAATACATAACATCTGCAGGGCTTCCATTTCACAGATGTGACAAAAACAATTCCCACTGATCCATATCTCACAGCAACGGTAAGAACCTTCCATGCATTTTACAGGCTTCTAACACAGGACTATGACCAGTGCACTATTGTACATTCTGAGACAGTTGGTGAACACTCCAGTGCAAGTTAAACTTATTACTTCACCCGCTCAATAGACTGACTAGAGATTTTAAGTATAGGATGCCCTAATACACTAGTATTCTTGCATTCACAATCTAAGGTACAAATACTTACAAGCATATGATATACATAGATGTAAAACACAAATCCACGGAATATGTAATTTACTAGAAGCATACTTTAGAAGTAGTCCAAAACATGAAACCAAAGCACACATTAGTCAAAAGACAGGTTACTGAGGGGATTTACTGGTGATTAATATTATTTGTTGAATCAACAGGGTGGAGAGAACATATATGATAAAAACATTGTTTATTCTCTGACAAAAATAGAGAAGGGAAACACTTTTAGGTCTGATAAAAAGGTTTTTGTTAGGGCAGAGTTTTCTTCAGAAATCAGATATTGTTTGATTATCAAAGTGGTGCATATGATCGGAGATAAAGTTTATCTTGAAAAAAAAAGCCATAACTGACATACAAGGTTACTTGTAACTCTATGTATGGAATTAAAACAATGGGCAGATTTTTTAAAAACAACAACCTGGAACTGTATCTTAATTATTTCATTCAGCGGGATAATACATTATATGATTTTTGATTCCGTGTATGAGAGACAGTAGTAGCAGGAGTCTGAAATCAAGCTTTTCTTTCTTTACATTCAGATTTTATGTCATTATGATCCATATCGCCATAGCCCTTTTTGAGTGATAGGACTGAAGTTTGTGTGTGTGAGTGAGTGAGTGTGTGTGTGTACGCATTAGTATTGGGACAGTAGACATTTAAAGAAATAATAGAACTACAGATTGTACTGGTAAATAAAAACAATCTAAAAAAGGCAGTGGAAAATCACTTGGTTGTACTACATGGGTGTTCATATAGTCACCAAAAGTTCTTACTAAAGGAAAGATTAAAATAATAATATGGTTGATTTCCCTTTAATAAAGTATTGAAAATCTAAAGAGAGTAATCCTATACAAAAAAAACCCTGTATTCATCAGATTTTTAGCACAGTTTAACAGAGGCACATTAAGTTCTTTTAATAAGAATTTAAAAGCAAAAAAACAACAACAGATCTAAGCCAGTAATTGTGAAATTTGCTATGTGGTTACTTTAGAATTAAAGAAACAAACACAAATAAATGGTAAACTGATGGAGATTAAAGTATTAAAGCACCACCATAATAGTTAGGATTGTAAAATCATATAGATGGGCTTAAGGATATGCAAAATATTTAAAATCTGAACTATTGTAAGCTTCAAATAGTCTGTTTTGATCTCACCAGAAGAACTCCAACCTTACTAGAAGAATTGTAACCAAAACCACTATTTGAAATCAGAACCCTGTTTTTGGTGAAGTTTCAATAACCATGAAATATAAATAGGAAATCCAGAAGCTGAAAAATACCTCTATTTGCACTTTTGCTTAGTTGTTGGAGCCCATCTTAATTTATGTGATGTTATCTACTTTGTGAAATTATGTTTTTGAATACTGTGTCCAGACTTAAATGTTGTAAGAACTGGAGGAGAATCTTCTTTATGTTTATATATGTACCTCCCAATGGATGTTTTCTCTCCTGCTGGAAAAACTTCTACCATATGTTGTATAGGATTCAGATTCAGAAATATTCTGGGACTTGCTTTCAGTTTTTTTTCAAAGAAGCTCAAGGATAAATCACTTTGTTGGGACAAAAGAGTTAACTGAGTCAACCAATATCTGTGAAAGGGCAGGGATGATTAAAATGGATCATCTGATGGGTCCAGCTGGCTTCCTAATAGAGCTTGGGGGGGGGGGTTCCCAAATGATCTGAAAGTATATTTTGTTGAGCATATTGTTGACCTCTGGAATATGCAGGTGATGAAGGCAAAAGGCTGCTCAATAAGATTGTCTATAGTGTATATATCTCCTTGTTTAGGCCTCCAGGAAATAAAATGGGTGAAGACACACCTAGGGTGATGCTGGTGGAAAACAAAAAAACAAATGTGTGGCTGGACAGGAGGAAGAATTAAGATGAGAGCCTACTTTGTAACAATAAAAGCCACAAAGGGTAATTACTGCTCAACTCTTATTGTGCCTGCAGAATGTTAGGCAGCCGCACTTTTTCAAAGGGTGCAAAAAATACTATGGGAGTTGGATGGGGCGTAAAACCCAGTCAATCTAAGTAGTGAGTGCTGGCTGAACATTTGGTGATTAAAACACTCACACTTTTGAGACTAAGGATCTCGAGGAAATAGGCAAAGACCTCTGTGATCTTGGCTCTGTTATTTGGGAATTTGAACCCTGCCCCACTTGGTTGCTAAAAGCAACAGGGAAAGAGTGTAGAAACTGGACCCAGGGGGTAGTCAACAATTCTTTGAGAAAAGGAGAAGTGGTAGAGTCAGGTCTGAATGCAACAAAACTGGAAAACTACTGTCCTATCTCTTAGGGAGATGTTAGTTATTGAGAAAGGAGTAGAGCTGCAGTTTCAGAGAGCTTAGCTGGAGATGATACCGTGACCACCCTTGTTCTCCTAGAACTCTCAGCAATCTTTGATATAATTGACTACTGCATTCTTCTGGACCACCTACAAGAGTGAGGCATTGGCGGATAGTAGTTCTGCTTTTACCTGAGCAGGCAGATCAACTTGATACTTGGGGTGGGCTGGAATAGGAAGAGGTCAGACACCCAGGAATTTTGGTATGGAGTGCCTAAAAGTTCAGTCTTTTTCCCTATTCTACCCAATATCTGCATGGAACCCTGGGAGAGGTCATCTAGAGGTTCGGGGTGAGATAGTATACTAATCCATTTTCTACTGCAGGGGTTTTATTTTCAGAGGTTTTATTTTCAAAAACAACCATCTTCTGTAAAGTCCCTGATTTCAATCCAATTCTGCATCAGATGCTCAACTTTTAAGTATAAAGGTAGCAAACCACAATCTACCAAGTCAAGATGCAAAACAGGATTTTGAATCAGGCAACTTATAAATAAAATCTTAGTAGGATTAGGAGAGCCAACATTTAAGAACGTACCCAAAAGAATCTGAAAGGGCCACTGAAGGGTATAATCCAGATGCTGGTGTGGTGTCCCCTACAGAGGTCTCTTCTTGTGGTATTGGATGATGTTCAAAGAATTTGGAGACAAAAAGTAAGCTGTGGAACAAGAATAATAATATAAGAGAACGAAAATATTATAAATTCATTACCAAATCCCCCAAACAAAGCAATTGAAAACTATACCCAATTAGGAACCTTAAATTTAAATAGTTTGGAATTCTCATTCATATACATTCCTTTTGCTAGGCAGAATAGTAGAGATCTGGTTTTTGCTTGATCCAAGCAACTTTCTGTGTGATAGAAGTAAGGCTAAAATGTTACATCTGTAATGGAGATAAATCACCCCATACACATTTTAAAGCTCTCTTTTGCCACATGAGCAAGTCTTTAGAATAATTTTATTGGTCTCAGCTTGATGAAGAACAAGATGTATAAAAGAATTCCCTTTGCCCAAGAATAAGCTGGCAGCTGAATGGATATATGAGTTCATTACAATATCCTTTTATTGTATACCTGTGTTTATTAAATCATAGAAATACCATCAATAAAGATATTGTTTTTAAGCACTGCTTCTGATTTTTAAAGACTATTCCTCAGATTAATCTGAACAAGAGGCATTATTCTTTTCATTAATTAACCTTTGTGTTCTAAGAATGAAAGTTAAGCTTTTTTCAGTATTTATACTAAGCCCTGTATTAAGACTCAGCATTTTCTGCCACAACAGTTAAATCCTTTTATTTTATGATGATGTGAATAAAGGCAGGATAGGAATTTTATAAATAAATAATTATATAAATAAATTTTGCCAATGTAATCCTATTTTATACAAAGTGTTCCAAATAACAATTCTATTGGTCTAGCAAGTCATGCATTATTGAATGCAAAATTTTATGGGCTTGTCAGTCTGCCTTGGATTTTGGGAGCACTGCAAATGAAATATAGCTCGAGCAGAATGGGTCCAATGTAAATCTTTTTATGATACAAAATATGTATACATTTGATCACTTCCTTTTAAATTAAGATTTGTACTACTCTGCACCAGTGCTGGGATATGACTGGTGTACTGGTGCCTGCTGGGAGCACAAGGTACTGTTCCAGTACGGTGCTCCCGAGGGCCCACCTGCCCGCCCGCTCTCCTTACTGGTATTTGCGCCAATTGGGGCATTTGACACGCACACGGAGTGTACGGCGCCTGCGCGATGTTCCGCCGAGCAGTTGGAGCATCGCGGGCGGTAGGTACTCATGTGTGTCCTGCGCACATGCTGAGTGCATGTACGTGGTGGGCGCCCAGCCCCGTTGCACCGTACCAGTTACACCGGGATCCGGAACCCACCACTGCTCTGCACTCTTGTTATTGTTATGATTCATCGCAGTCAGCCAGATGTTTAGTATTTTTTTTTTTACAAACAATTCAAGGCAGCAAACTGATCTAACACTCCTTCCTCCTCCTATTTTCTCCACAATAACAACCCTGTTAAATGAGTAGGCTGAGAGCCAATGACTGGTATGACCCAAAAGTACTTTTTTGGGGAAGCAACTAGTCTTTCTTGTTTTTTCTTTGAAGACATTTCTCTTCTCATCCAAGAAGCTTTCTCAGCTCTGACTTGATGGTAGGGAATGGAAGGATTTATATTTCTTGCAGACAGCTGGTCATTTGGATTCTATTTAGAGAGTCGTTGAGGCAACTTGGAGGTTTATCTGTGTCCTCAGGGACACCTGAGTAGTGGAAATGTGTGTGGAGCCTTCTTGGATGTTTCTACCACATCCCTTCCCTGTTGAAGAGAGGCACAGGCTGTTGGGGATGGGTCTGTGTTGCCTGGATCTCAAATTGAAGGGCAAATGGTTCCTGCAATTTTCTGGAAAATCCGTTCATATTCTCACACCATTCAAAGGGTGTTCATCCCAATTCATAGCTAAAGGTCAATGGAGATTCTCAGTCAAAAGTCTATGGAGATTCTCAGGTCATGGTTGCCCCAAACATGCTTTTTTCAGGAGGCAACTGGTCTTTCTTGGTTTGTTTGTTTTTTTGGTAGGACTAGAACTTACAGTTCTTGGTTACTAGTCTGATGCCTTAACACTAAACCAAATTGGCTCTCAGCTACATTGCAAGCACCTTTCCTTATGGAAAAGACATCATCACAAGACATTGTTTCTTTTTGTACTAGAAAGGATGCCACTATATCTCATTAATTTTTCCCAGAGTTATGCACTGCAAACATCTATTTATGGCCAGAGCATTTAATTAAAGAGGGGATCCAGTTACTTACTCAAGCTGATCATAATTCACACACATTAGTGGCACTTCAGTACTGCAACGCTGATGAAATTTGTAACCACAGGTCTGGCAACGGAATCCCTGGAAAAGCAACTTTCTACAGAAGTCGCAAAACGCTAAAGTGAAGAATGTCTTCCGTACCTGTGCCATCAAGAAAATCAGAAGAGATAAAGTCCTGTTTTGTTCAATATCTTACCAAAGAAATATTGTTTGTATTTTATTTTGATTATAGTTCATTTCAATATTACTCTATAAGTAGTACATTTATGAAGATCATAGTTCGTTGCTGGAACACTGAAAGCAACAATTCAGAACTTAGAACACATCAGGTATATTAGTCTACAACTCCAAAAATTCCATGGTCTTTCATCATGTTGATTAGGGGATTCTAGCAACTACAATTAACTCTTTTAGAGGATATAAGCATCTATCTGTAAGTATTATGACACCAAAGTTATGAAAAGTGCATTATGATGGCATAATGCAAAGTTGATTCTTTTGTATTGCAACATCACACAGAAGCACTCTCTTCCTTCCTGCTAACAGATACCCATTGGCATCAGGTTAGAAAAGCTGCTTTAGAAACATAGAAGAATATATGACTAAATAAAGCACACTATTATCGTTAACAAAATTTAGAGCACATTTTCGTAAAGGAATGCTGTATCATCAAATGTTTATTTGCATTAAGGCAAAATACAATTTTCATTTATACAAGATAATTAAGTATTCTCTTACCATTAATTGGTTATTTGCCTTCAGGCCTAAACTAGCAAGTTCATGTTTTGATTTTTTACTGTATTTTATTACAATGTATTTTATGAAAGAAAATGGCTTCAGGATTTGAAGATAATCACCCATATATAATTCAGTTAAAATAGTTCAACTGCTGAAGAAGTCATACAATGGTGGAAAAACAGGAATTCTTGCTCCTCCTTTTTGTTCTAATTTAAAACACTTTGGCTAGCCCTATTTTCTTTTATATACAGAGGTGGACATCACTATTAAGAAATATGGCTTCTAAATGCTTTGTAGGACTTTAATTTATACATATTAAATCATATTAAAGCCTACATACCCACTTACACACACAAACTTTTATGAAAGCAAAATGAGATCGATTCCATATACAATTCTAAATATATCTGTTTGAACTGAAATTATCTCTTAAATCAATGCAACCTACCAGGGTACCTGGTAAGGATTAGGGATGTCAAATTTTTGTAGATCATAAAGAATTGACCATGAATATCATGCAGAGGCAGAATTACATTCTGCTAAATTTAAACACTATAAATTATAATATCTCTAGATTACGTTAGCCAGATTGCAAGCAAATTGGTACATATTTCCACCAACTGTGTCAATCTCTAATTAGGGAGACCTTCTGGTTGCAGATTTTAAAAGAAATTGGGAAAAAATAATCCAATATTTTTTCACAATTAATTCTGCTGTCAGCTTTCTGACTGTGCTTCCTAAGGCATACAAATAAGGAGACATAAGAAACTGACGGAATTTTGATCAAGAGTGAATGTATTGCTGCAGTTTGGAAAGAGAATATAAATACTTTGCTTGGAAGATTTAAGACCAATGTGGTTTTTAAACGTTGCAAGACTTACAAAATTATGTGTCGTAAGAGGCACATTCTCCAAGACTTCCACATGTAGTTCTTCTCCCGTCAACCAGGAAATGTCTGTGTCCCAACCAATGGGCTTCTTTTCCCTACAGGGTAAATAAGTTCTTTGAGGTTAAACACAATTTCTAAACTCTGATCTTAATGATGAAGATGTGCTTGTCAGAAGACGATGATATCAAATATTTAGTGTTTGTTTCCCAGCCTTTTCCTCCTAGAAACTTAATATAACTCTTTTAAAAGGAGTATTCATTCTGATCAAATGACAATTTCCTCCAGAACTAAAAATGTACCAGTTTAGTGCCAGAGTACTCTCCACAGAAAACCAGAGACAGAAACAATTTGGAAGTTGCTAAACTATAGTGTAAAGGAGAGATCACACTGAACCAACCTTCAATAAATCAACTAATGAATTCTTCTCTTCTTACCATCTGCCCTCCCACAGTCTCATCAGTTTTTACTGGGAGGTTCTCATGTTTGTGAAGGCACCTGCTTTGAAATATTGAAAGCTAATATTCTCAGACACCTGGAAACAACCCCTGTATAGCAATTTTTCTCTCAAGTGATCACAGCCCACAAAGTCATATTGCAATCAAACCATACCCATCCTGTATACGGTAAACAGCACAGCACTCTGGGATAAGACCTCGCATCATCAAAGCTTTCTTTAGACTCTCCCGGACTGTTACTCCACATCGTGCTGGAACCTACAAAGTTGTTTTTAAGAAAAACCACTGCATTACATTTCAGTGTAGTATCATGCAAGATATTTCGAAACGCTAAAAAAATGTACTCTCTTTAAATTTCTGTATTTTAATGTTTACAAGCTTAAGAATTCTGCTAAAACAAACCAAGCAATGTTTAGGAATCTACTGGTTCTGAATATAAAGAATCAAAATCATTCTGTCATGGATAACAGATATTGAAAAACTTCTCTGAGAATATGCCAGATCTCAGGAGTGTTTTGGGACCTCCTTGGAATGCTTCCTGAAGATGGTTTACAAAAAATCCCATTTCTGCCAATCAGTATCATTACTATTACATATACATTTACCAAAATTCTTAAATATTCTTGTAGTACACATCAAATGATATGGCTGACATTTAATACAAACATCCTTTTATGAGACTTGTATCCATTTCTTTTCTTCTTACTTATAACATTAAAATATATTAATAATCCTTACAATACTTTTTTCTGCAATTCTGCTGGAACACAAAATAACCATCATCCTGTCAATCAATTTGCAAACAAAACAAAACAAACTCACTGTCATTATTATCACTTTCTATTTACATATTTTGCTCTCAAGCTATTTTATTTATTCAGGAAAAAAACAGCTGGGTGATTCTGAATGGAATTAAGGACTAAACAAGAGTCTTATTCTTGAGGAAAACGGAACATACTTGTATTCAGATGTCAAGTCCTACATACATTCATGGTTTTTAACTGAAATCATGAGACAAAATAAATGCAGGAGAAGATATGGTAATCTGAAAACTCTGCAAAGCTTTGTTGTGAACAGGTATTTGCCAGTTTATATTAAAAATTGTGTGGTTACTGTTAACTGGAAATTGCTGAGAATGTGGGGAAAGAAAATAATTCTACATAACTGTAGCAATAATCTTTTTATTCTTCTATACCTGTTCAAAAAGTTATTTTCCTTTAGTTTCCTCTTAAAATTCAAACACTTTTGCTCAATTTTTAAACTATTGGCTATAGGAAATAATACAATAATAACATATATGCACATGAATATACAAATAGCATGAATAAAATACCTAAATGGCCTCATTGGTGTAGAAGAACATATGTTGTAAAGGATATAAAATACAGAACATAATATGAAAGCAAGATGGCTTCTGAACTCTGAGAAAGGATATTTCCCTATCCATCTGGATTTTTCTTAATATTCTGGATCTAGTCCTTGGTTCGGTTATTAACTGGATTAATTGTAAACTTTTTATCTTTAATGCTTAATTTAAGTGTTATTGTTATCTCTAAAGGCCCAGTTGCAGCATGGCAAACTTTTAACACAGTCAAGAGATATTTATAAATCAGAGTAGATTGCCTGTTACGACTTAAATTTTGTGTACTGTATACTTATATACATAATTATGAAGACTGAAATTTAGAGAAATCATGTCATCTTCTATCCTATCTTTGAACAGTGCCAAACAGATGGATAGGATATTCAGAAGATAAAAGGAGAAGAAAAGCTAACCATACTGTCCTGCTAGTGAAGTTCCAATCACTTGTTCCAGACATGAATTCCTCTGAGATAAGTTGGCTATCTCACACTTGTCTACATGCAAAGCATAATTTAAGAGTACTAAAATCTGAGATTCCAATACAATAATCTTGCTACACAGAGCACACTACTATCAGCATCTATAGTAAACTCTGTGAACTATTAGGGAGGGGTTATCTTTACACTCTTTCTCTCTACTCCTCTGGAGAGCATCTCCTCCCCCACTTGGGAATCCACCTCCTTACTATATGCTATCATTGCTGCTACTATATATTGCCTCCATTTAGAGGACAAGAGAAGGCTTCTTTGCTGGGAATAGCAATGGTATATGCAGAGTATTGCAGAAGACAGTACTAATAGTGTGCTGAATAGACAACTTTCTAATGTTCAGGGAATTGTTTGTACACTGCAATTGCAAAATACCCTTCTTCGTAATTTCTTTTGGCATATCTTCCCTTCTTAGCTTTTATTTTAGAAGCTAGTAATGAGAAGAAACAAATTTTAACTTAGAGAAACAATTGCATCACAAAGTATAAACATCATATACCTGAAAATATATCAGATTTTGGAGAAATCTGTCATTTTCAAAATCTAAGTCCTAAATAGAGAACCTCAGCTTTGGTTTTCAAGTAGTAAAATTAGTACTTGAAAGCATATTAGAAATGTATGGGATCAATTCTCATACTAATGAATATTGGAGCATAATTCCCAAAGACTGGATAAAAGTTTTAGTTCACTTGATTGCTTATCTAGATACTTAGCTAGTTAGAAGTTTGATGTTAAAAACATTAAGTTAGACAGTAAAATTAATCTGTAACTTTATTACTTTCCCATCTAATATAATGTTTTATATATTTTAAACAGATATTTTAAAACCATTTTAAAATCCAGGTTAAGTTATTAAGAGTTGTAAACCGCCCCGCCCCCTCATTTTATTGTAAAATATAGCATTATATCTACCCCTCCAAAAAGAGATCAAAATTTAACATGCACAGGATGTAAAATGAGACACATTGAAACTATAATAGAAGACTAAAACAATTGAGAATTAAATACAACAAATACAAATCCAATTAAAATTATATTGCATACCTGAAATTCAATCACACTAAATTTGGTGGATGCTATATTTGAATAGACATCTATAGGACTGTAGTATTGCTTTTAGTGAAAGAGTTAAATGTGCTCAATTCTCCTACTGAAATGAACTAGAGATAAAAGGCGCTTCTGCTAGACTGTGATAAATTGAAATTTGAGTTTTGAATTGCCGTTGCATTTAATATTCCTTTTGCAGTCCCCTTCTATTTTGTGCTGCTATGCTTAATTTTCTCATTCCTAAAATGACACTGTTGCAATACCACCCCCTTTAATTATGTGTTCTCCTGGTAATTATGTGCACTCCTGGTAATTCCTGTTTCAGATCCTGTCATCTCATATTTTTAGAGTATATAGCCTGTCCTTCCTTCTCTTCCTACTGAGGAAAGAAACTACAATCTCTCTTTAACTCCTCTCCCTTGTTCCTAGCCTCTATGGTCACCTTGGTAACAAGCCTAAATATGTGCAAGAAATTATGAGAAAGGGGGGCAAGATTATCACTGGGCATGATGTCATTGCTGTGTATAAAAAAACATTTCCCATTTAATACTTAAAGTCCAAAACAGATATCCCTAATGTGGCACCTTCAACTTATATTATATGACAATCCCTTCTTCCCACAGCTGGCTTTCTGTTGTTTTAATCAAGGTTATCCATGGTTAGGGTCTATTATCTAAAAAAAATACTGTTATCCCATATGTTGGAGTTTGGGGTTAGTGAGCTATATTGGATTGCAGAACTCTTCAAATATTCACAAATGCAGCACTAATATACACATTTATTATAATATATCAGAGTCCCAGGAAAGGAATACATTTATTTTTTGATTGCTGGGCAGAGAGGTTTTTATCTCATCATCATCCAGCTATCTGGAAAACTATTGGAAGTATGTCAAAGAAGACAGCATGCAAACTTTCTCAACATCTTTTTTCCCAGCATAACTGGAGCAGAAAGTGACAAAAACATTATAGTTTGGCCCTTTGAGCATGAAGAGTAGGGTCACATACATTTATTCTACATGCTGCACAACACCATTGTTGATAAGTAAACGAATAAAGAAAAAAAGAAAAAAAACCCTTCATATAGTGTACAAAATAGAAGTTGTTAATGTTACCACATTTTCATACATTTTTGCCAAGCTATCACCAATAATATATTCCAGCCCTTTATTTGCAGTTCTAATCCAGTACAATATTTGGGATTTTTTGTGGACAATACTTTGCTTATTTGACTAAGTAATGGCAGTAAAAGTACATGAATGACACATCACCAATCCTGTGACTCACTGTTTTAGCCATAGACATGTATCTTTGGCAATATTAGAAAGAGAAATATTGACAGCTGTTCATGTCTTACCACAGTCCTCTGTTTGTTGGGTAGGAAAACTCTAACAGTAGGCTTCTGTGGAGATTTAGGGTTACTCCGTGATAAATCTATAGGATTCTGATACACAGAGAGAGATGAAGGTGCTACAGAAAGACTAGAAGAAGAAGATGAAGTAACTGTTTCTGTTGAGGCAGAACTGGAGACAGAGAAATCAGTTCCATTTCCCATTGATTCCAACAACTGTTGCTCTCTCTGTTGTAATGCATCTAACTTGCTGGTGTATTCCTCGTATGCCTATAAAAAAAAGTTGAATTATTAAATAATTCTCTAACCTAATTTGCCAATGTACTCCCAAACCTACTGCTAACCCTTCCCAATTTGGCATCTCCATATGTGTTAGAACACAATTCTCATTATCTCCTGAGACCTGTTGACCATTTCTGTTGAAATGACAGCAACGTTGCCTGGCATCTTGCACATCAGTCTAAAGAAGATAGTACTATGCAATCCACATATGTAGTACAAAGCTTAATGGGAAATTCAGCCAATATAGATTGAAGAAAAGGAATTCTATAATTACATTTACTTTATACTAGCACAAGTTACTATACTTCTTTATATTTTTACAACTTTGTAAGGTATGTAAGGCCAAAGTATATATATGCTGATTTATATACTTTTCTTAAAAAGTTTCATTTCTCACTTTTTGAAGATCTTGACCATTAGCTTACCTGAATGGTCATTTTCTGGGTGCTACGAAGGAGAGTCCAAGCATGGGTTAAATACAGCCAATCTGCCCAGGACTGAATTGAAACTTTAACCCATGCCTCTGGTGCTGATTATTCTTTAGATTTTTCTCAATGAAGGTGTGGACGTTGCGCACTGAGAAATTCAGGAACAAAGTCATATAAAGTCTGCATAAGAGTCGCATGTCCAGTTCGAAAGTCTGCAACAAAAGGCGGAGACAGACCCCAGTGTGGGGTTGGACTCTCCTTCGCAGCACCCAGAAAACGACCCTTCAGATAAGCCAATGGTCATTTTCCTGGGTGCTACTTGGAGAATCCAAGCATGGGACATACCCAAGCTAAATGTCACTAGGACGGGAAGAAGAAGCCTCCAGGGTCTCTCCGTTTGCATGGATGCCCTGAAGAACTTGCCTCCCAAATGCCCCCTCCGAAGAAACAAATTTATCCTATTTGTAGTCCCGAACAAAAGGAGACAAGGAAGTTCAGGTCGCTGCCCTGCAAATGTCCTCAATTGGTGCCTGGTGGCCCAGGCCCCATGGTGGCGGCGCTTCTGGTGGAATGTGCAGTGATATGGCATGGCACCGGTGTAGAACATGGGCCAAGGTAATACAGGCCCGTATCCAATGTCCAATGGTAGGAGAAGAGACCTTGCGGCCCTGGATAGCAGGTTGAAAGAATAGAAAAAGCGACTCGGAACGTCGGAAGACAGCTGTGCGTTTAATGTATTTGCGTAATGTCCTGCGAACATGTAGCTTGTGCCATCTCTTTTCTTTAGGATGTTTGGGGTGCGTACAAAAATCCGGGAGGATGGCCTCCTGGGCCCGGTAAAACCAGGAGTTCATCTTGGGGATAAATGCTGGGTCCAAACGGAGAATCACCCTGTCAGGTTGAATGAGGCATAAGTCCTCTCAAATTGACAGGGCTGCCAATTCAGAACTTCGCCGAGCAAATGTGACAGCGATCAAGGCGGCTATTTTGAACGTCAGATGTCTAAGACTGGCGGACCAGAGTGGGTCAAAAGACAGGTCAATGAGGGCCCGTAACACTACGTTAAGATCCCAGGATGGGTAACTGTGGACAACCAGGGGCCTCAAGTTGGTCGTGCCCCGCAGGAAACTACAGATGATGGGGTGACGGCTGAGGGATAAGTGTTTGTCCACTGCCAGAATTGTGAACAAGGCGTCTGAGAGTATTAGGAGCCAGGCCTTGGTCAAGTCCATCCTGTTAATAGTCCAAAATTTGTGGACCGTAGCCGCAGTTGCCTCAACGCCATGTGCTCTGCACCAGGTGTCGAAGGATTTCCAAGTGGCGTTGTATATTCTGGTCATAGAAGGCCACCTGGACACCTGGATGGTATGGTATGAATGACGTTGGTGGAAAGACTACCCCAACTTAGCTCCCTCTCAAGTGCCACACAGCTAGTTGTAACCACTGGGGCTCTGGATGTTGAAGCGCCCCCTGGCTGAGAGAGACCTCGTGTTGGGGAATCTGCCACAGTGGGTTGACAGAGAGACTCACCAGGTCGGTGAACCAGGTTCTGGGCCAGTAGGGAGCCACAAGCAGGACCTCCACTTCCTCCGACAGGATCTTCCGAATCACCCTGGGAAGGAGAGGCAATGGGGGGAACATGTACAGCAGTCCCGATGGCCATAGACAGTGAAGAGCGTTGACCCCCTCGGCTAGCGGGGTGGGAAACCTGGTGAAGAATCTGGGAAGGTGTGTTCTCCGGGGTAGCGAAGAGGTCGACTAGAGGACGGCTGAACCTCAGAGACAATTGGTGAAACAGGTGATATGGCATGGCACCGGTGTAGATTGTAGAACATGGGCCAAGGTAATACAGGCCCACAACCAATGTCCGATGGTAGGAGAAGAGACCTTGCCCTGGGAAGCAGGTTGAAAGAATACAAAAAGTGACTTGGAACGTTGCCAGAGCAAGGGACAGCCACCACTGGAAGGACTGGCATACCTTTGGTGAGACCGGAATCAGCTGTTGAGAGTTGCTCTGGTTGGCTCTCTGGTAGGGCAGGAGGAGCCATTGCAGATGTCGGAAATGAAGGCATGCCCAAGGCATTATTGACATCATTTTGCCCAGGAGCTGGGACAACTGAACAATCGATGCGTGCAATGACCATTATACCTGTCGCAACAGGTCTCTGATGGTCTCCAGCCGTTCCGGAGACAGGGAGACCTGACAGGTCATGGTGTCGATGACGCCACCGAAGTGCTGCAATCTGGTGGTCGATATTAGATGACTTTTTTCTGTGTTGATGGAGAACCCGTGCCATTGGAGGGTTCGTAGCGAGGTGGCACAGTGTTTAAATGCAGCACTGCAGGCTACTTCAGCTGACTGCAGTTCTGCAGTTCAGCTGTTCAAATCTCAC